TTCACTACTGCGTGCCATATGAGTGTCCACCGGTGCTGTTTGTTGTTCTTCTGGCCCGCACTAGTGAACCTCTCTCTCTCTCTCTCCCTCTCTCTCTCTCTCTCTCTCTCTCTCTCTCTCTCTCTCTCTCTCTCTCGGGTGAGGGGGCCATGTCGCAGCTACGTGTTCTCATAAATGTATGTGGTGTCTCATGCAATAGATGGAACCCGCGATTGCATCGACTGTCAACGGTGGAGAGACATGCGCCACGGAGACGGAGGACATTCTAAAGGATTTTGCAGATGGCAGCAAGGAAGGGGATTCGGCTGGAGGGAACAACGCAGCCTATGCAGAGGTGCTTGCGACAATATGTGCACAGACTGTAGAGATGATGGGTGATGGTGATGAAACAGAGAATGATGCAGGAGGGAGCACTTATGAGACGGAAACGGTTGGGGAAGAGAGAGAGGGGGGAGGTATGGGAAGCAGGGAATCTCTAACAGGGTGTATTGTGAAAGATGAAAATGTGGTGAAGACATCAGCAGGGGAAGAGTACCCATATGACATCAATTGGGTGTCGGGTCGTGTTCAACCGGGTATTGTTGGAGGAATACCCTGCTTTGCGTTCAAAGTCGAAGGGACATGGGTTCCATTTCCTGCCCCCAAAATGAATACATGGCGAAACGTAACTCTGTCAATTATGTTTGACAGGATATTAAGGTTGAACGATGGGGCAACAGCAGAGGTGAAAGGGCGATATGCATTGGACATGTGGCGTGTTCTGGAGGCGCAGGGTGAGTTCAGGCTGAACGATTTTTTGTACGACAGTTTTGATTGCAGACAGGCATGGGTGATTGGCGGGAACGACGTAACAGGGAGTACAGCGTGCCACGAAAGCGATGCGAGGAGGGATCCTAGGTGGGGTTGGGTGCCATGTGTGATCCCAATTCCATGTGGCCGTGTGAGGATGATGATGCGTGATACCATGGGAAATGTCTAGAGCAAGCATTATGTGAATGACAACTTATCCTTTAGGCACCTCGACAGGGATGTCTCAGAAGACGAGAGGAAGGCAATGGCATGTTTTACCCATACTGCTGGCTGCTTTTTCCCGCCGCTTCGGAACCCTGTGGAGTCGGAGGTGGTTGAAGGGAAAGTTTTCACTGGTGAGGATGGCAGCACATACACGCATGCAAGAGGGCAGGAAGCCACGTATGATGGAGTATGCTCGCAGATATGGGACCATGTCACAATGAGGAGTGACGTTCTGTCTGCCATGGACATTGGGGCCCGTGTCATCCCTGAAGGACAGTTGCAGCAACATATGGCCCCTGAAAAGTATGACTATCATATCAATTGGGTCCCAGGATGTTTGCATCCTGCAGTTGATGGCAAGGTGACGATGGCAGGAAGACTGCAATCAGGGCATTGGCTTCCATTGGGATGGATGCATGCAGGCATTGTGGAGCACTGACAGTTCCTCGTGGTTCTGTCACGTATCTCAATTTTCAATGTGAATGTAAAGGACCACGTGTTGGTGGTTGAACACACAAAGCGCTGCTGGGAGAAGATAAGGGAGGAGGAGCGTCAGATGGTGTTCGCGGGTTATGACTCCATGCATGACCAGGGGATGTGGTCCATGGTTGAGGGGAGTTGTACAGCCCAAGAGCACGGCGACGGTCAGAACAGATACATGGCTCGCATTCGCCGCAGGTACGGTTGCACGACCGTTCTTGGTTGGGTCCCAGTCGTATGTCCCATGACATATGAGCATGGTGGAGACGTCACCATGAGATTCAGAGACCCGCTTGGTGTGCCTTTCCATCTGACCTACTCAGATGGACTCCTTCGAGACATTCGGTATCTGTCGGAGAATGACTTGGCAGGTTCAGCGCAGCCAGGCAAGAGGACAGAGAAGCGCTTAGAAATTTCTCATTTGTCTGCTGAGGTGGAGGGCCCATGTGGTCCTGGTCGCGTCGGGGGGTGCTCTGCAGCACAGGGTGACATGGTCGGGCCAAGCGATGTCGCGATGTCGCAGAGCCCGGGGAAGATGAAGAAGTGCACGTCGGGACCGCCACGTGGGCAGACGCCCGCAGGCAGAAAGAAGGTGAACCTGAAGGCGGTGCCAGCGACCGGAGATACCGCAGGTGCACGAACTCAGGTCCTCAGACGTCGTCGACGCCCCGGGATGGCAACTTTGTCGGAAATCAGAAAGTTGCAACGATCCACCGACCTTTGCTTGACTTTCAGCCCGTTCTTGCGTCTCGTGCGCGAGGTTGTGGAGCAGGACATTGCTCCGGGTATGGGCGTGAGGTTTCAGATGACGGCGGTGCGTGCTTTGCTGGAGGCTGCCAAGGCGTACCTGGTCGCCAATTTCGAGAACACCAACGAGGTGGCCATTCATTCGAAGAGGGTGACGATCCAGGTCAAGGACATGAGACTGGTGGATAGGTTGTCGAAGCCTCGCTGGGTTGAGAAATATCAAGGTATGTTGGACGAGAAGGCGAGAGCTGAGGAGAGACAGGAACGGATGGAGGCCAGACAGGCGGAAAGGGATGGCAGCAGAGCAGAGGCAAAGAAGAGGAAAGCAGTGCCACGTAAGGGGGGGTCCGCGAAAAAAAAGGCAGCTTGAGAATTCTACTGTGTGTGCTACATAACGGTTGTCCTGTCGAGTCGTGGACTCCGTGGAAGTCTTCGTGGTGTTAGGTGGGTTGAATAGGTGGAGAGAGAGAGAGAGAGAGAGAGAGAGAGAGAGAGAGAGAGAGAGAGAGAGAGAGAGATCATGTTCATTAGTGGGGGACATGAAGGTATTGAAGGACGACTCTGTCGCTGATTTTGGTCCGCAGTAGTGAA